AGAATAAGCATAACATATGTATCTTCCACAAATATATATTTACCAATATTTTTGATCTCCAAAGAAGAATAATATTTAATATATGCAAAGCCCAAATGTAAAAAAATTCTAATCTTTCGAAAATTTTTGTTGGGGCAAATATTTGTTGCATATACGTGAACACTGTACACTATTTTAAAATAATTATAAAACTAAGGATATTTAGAATTAAGATTTTTTAGTAAAAATATATATAAAAAAAATTGATCTAATATATTAATAATTTTAATAACTATTAAATTAGTATAAAGATTAATTTGAATACTGATTTAATGAATTTTAAAATCCTTTTTTCGGTAAAATAAGACATAATATTAAAATGGCAAGCAGCCCCTTTAGACGAAAAGGTTAAAAGGGGTGTTCAAGTTGGTCTAAACGTGACATGAAACTCTAGCTCGAATGATCGTGACCTCAAAGGGATGGAGCCAGTGGCACTGGGTGAGTCCCAACTGGAATGTCAATCAAGACCTAAGTTAGATGCATGTAGTCCATTTGATTCACCACATCACATGCCAACTTGGCCGTAGTTTGGCTTGGCTCGCTTTGTTCAATTCAATTCAACTGGTTTAGCCGACGACCTTCTGTCATTTTGTGCCATTCTCAACGCCAAGATTTGGACCGAAAACGAACAGGACCCAGATCGGACTACTTGAATAAACGTCAATGTAAATTTTGACCCGGGTATTATGCTAATATTGGAAAAACAATTGATAAAATTATAAATTCTTTACCCATAGCCTAGCTAAACTAACAAATTGTTACTTTTAACTCTTAATTATTTCATGTAAGGAAATTTTTGATAACAGAAATGGTTTTAGTTTTGTATTTATTTATATTTTTAATTATTTAAAAATTTTAAAAAATTGTTTGTATTAAATTTAGAGAAAATGGGTTTATATAAAAGTTTTAGTTTAAATTTTAAATTTTAATTTTAGTCTTTTTAATACCCAAAACATCTTTGTTTATTTTATGTATATTTTTAATAAATTATCATTTTTATTTTTGAACAGCACTTTTTGAATTGAATCTATCAAGTCTATCAGGTCTATGCCAAATCCATGATCCACTGAATTTTAAATTTGATTCTTCGTCATTATAAAAGAGGCTCTTTAGAATTTATTCTAACCCAATCTTAAAATTAGCAATAGAATTATTTTAGGAAAAAAAAATCTATTGACCTGTTCAAATTATTTTTGAACATATTATATTGTGTATTTTAAAATATTTAAAATTTAAATTAATTCATATAAATTATCCATTTTTTAATTAGATTAGATAAGAACGAGTATAATTAACTCCTTCACAATTTGGATTGGGTGGGATTGGATTGAATTCAATTATTCTTAACTAATTTGATTGGGGTTGGGTTAATTAGTGGGAGCAACCATCTCCAAAACCGAGCACAAAATTGATTAGTTAAGTTGTTTCTACTCAAGGTTCAAACAAAAATAAATAATTTGCATATATTTCTAATATTTTTTAGTAATTTCACTAATAATTAATTTGAAAAAGATTAATCATAAAGAAATAAGCTTCTCTTTCTTATCTCATTATGCACTTGTGCAAGCAACATGAGTAATGATATGTCAAGTAGATGTTCATATAGTAAATTCTGAATTTCTTATTACCCAAAAAATAAAAAAAAATAAGAAAAGCAAGTCACACCCCAATCATTACTATTAACACCAATTAGTAACATCATATACAGTACCATACCATTATTATTATTATATCATAAATTCTTTAAATTATGATATTAATCAAATTTAACCAATTGAATTTTTTTTTTGGTTATTAATGCATTCCTAGTTATTCTAATAAATTATATATATAGTTTTTTGTATATGTGCATTTTAAAATACAGTAAGAAATTGTAAACTTAGACATAGCACCAGTAATCTACCATATATATGCTTTAAGGGTTTTAATTTTTTTTAAAAAGGAGAAATAAAAAATTAAATATATTATTTTTAAATAACTTTTTTAAATATTTTTAATATTTATAAAAATATAAATAATTTATGGAGTTGGAGATTTAGAAAGCTCCTTTAAGAGGCATAAGATGGAGAGGCAAATGGGAGCCGCACAATGTTAAAAAATTTCCAACTTCCGAAAATGTCAAAGTAGGAAAGAGCAAAGGTGTAAAAAAGGTGGCATTGATGGTGCCCGCAAGCACTAAGCTTGTTTTCTGATTGTCACCCAAAAGTCCCACATATTACCCACTTTGCCACTAAAAGTAGGAAACACACACACACACACACACACTGACTGTAAAATACTAATTTTGGACGTGCCCCTTTCTCAGGAAAAATGGAATTACTGTGCGGTTGTTGGTGAGGCCTGTAAATTGTAATAAATTATTTTAAAAATTAGTTTTATTTTTTCTTTTAATTTTTAAAATATATAGAAGTATCTTTTTTATTTATTTAATAAGTGTGTGTATAGAAAGAGAGAGAGAGAGAGAGATACACCCACTATCTAACTACAACTTATGAATTTGTCAAGAAGATTAAGCCCAAAAGGTGTTTTCCCATAATTATATGTTTCACATAAAGTTAAAAGAACCAGATTAATTCAAATAAAAACTTCTCATTATAATTTTCTTTTATAAATACAATAAGATATAAAAAAATATAAAATTGTGAGATTTATTATTAATCATTAAAAGATTATTTGCTGCACATGGATTATGAATGGATTTTTTGAATATCCATTTAAATTTTAAATAAATATAATTTAATTTATTTAAAATCGTAATACATAAATTTAAAATTTCATATATTCCAAAACACAAAATTAATTTGAGCGACAAACCAAAAATAGAAAAATATTCTCCGATGCATATCCAAACACAACCTGCAGGAAAACAGTAACAGAAAAAATTACAACTAGTGGTTGGATACCTTTTTGACACATGGGGAGGACCCGGATATAGCGGGTCACCCGAAATCAGCGTACGTGTGTTGCAACTCAATCGAGGCCGTTCGCATGGTGGGATGGAAACACCAAAATTATCTCCCCCCGTCCTTTCGGAAAGCGACCGATTTGGACGTGATTCCATTTTTTTTTTAAATTGCTCTCTCTTTATGACCTCCTCCTCGTTGTCATCTACACCTGTCCTAACATCCCTCTTTCATTTCCCAAATTGCCCTCCAACGTATCTTTATTTCTTTTTGAATTTGCTTTAATTAATTAATACTGAAATGTGTTTAACAGTCAAGCATCTTCTGCATTCCCACCAGTTAAGTTGGAGCTCCATTTGGAAAAAAAAATTTCATCTGCATTTTGCTTGATTTTTTTTTTTGTATGAATGAAATTTATCGGGGTTAAGTTCATAAATAAGTAATCGATTTAATTTTTATTAATATTTATAATTAAACTTCAATTTAAGTAATCAAATTTTTTAAACTCAATTTCAATTTTATTAATATTTATAATTAAATTGAGTCAAATTGATTGAGTTTAGTTCAATTTTAAAATAATATATATCACAAATCTATATATTCTATTATAAAACTAGTTTTAAAATTGTTCTTTTATACCTTAGAAATGATTCTAATCTAGAATTTGTTAACTTGATAAATTTACATTTTTTGCACTCAATTTTGTGTATTTATATTTGTTATAAATAAAAAATTATGTAAGTAAATGTAAAAAAATATCTATTTAGTTGGGGAAATATAAACTAATTTAATTCATCGATTTATTTATGTTTTTAGTTTAGTTTAGATGGTTTTTATACTAGAATTATGAATCAAATTAAAGAAAATTAATTTTACAATTTTTAAACTAGAATTTATTTAAATATATGATGAAATTAATCATAAATTTAATCACATTACAATAATTTTAAGTTAATTCAAAATCACAAGGAACTGAAAAATATCCTCTCTACAATAATAAATTTAAACAAAAATATTTAAAATAAAAATATGACTTATAGGAAAAAGAATTTAACTGGCTTTAATTTTTAGGAGTGAAGAAAAATAGAATATTTATTGAATCACATTTTAAATTTATTATTAAAAAATTCTAGCTCAGCATTTGAATTATATATACGCCACATTTATTAAGATTATTTTTTTCATGACAATTCTTTTAGTGCTTTTTAATACATTATTTATAACTTATAATATAATATTTTATTGATTACATTAAGATAATTTTTCTTTTTGAGATATGTAATAAATTAAAGCACATACAAGAAGAAGGATCAATGACAAGGAAAAAAATACTTCAAACCACTTACTTTCATATGTATATGACATGGGTGACATGTCATGGCAGCCAAAATTTAGTGGAAGCATATTTATTTCTCTATTTTTTTATACTTTTGTTGGGAAAATTTATACTTAATAACCTTTTATAAATAAATAAATTAAGTAATTAATAAAAGGGAGGTGTTACCCATGACATGAATGGCATTATAGTAATTGGACAGAGAAACCATCCGGTGACCCAATCAAGACCAACTTATCAGTTGGACTACTTATTCCCAATCCCTCCATCAATTGTCTTCTCACCTCACGAGAAACAAAGCCGGAAAAACAAAAATAGAAAAGAAAACTCCCCTCTCTCTCTCTCTCTCTGTGGCTCTCTCCGATCGCTGGCCGACTTCCCTCCGATTGACCGGACTCCATTCCTTACCGGCTCTGGCTTCAGACCTCACCTTCTGACTGTCTTCCAATCAGCTCTTGTGCCCACTTTCTTTATACACTTCCTTTGTCTCTGTTTTGCTTCTCAGGGGTGATGATGGGTGTCAGCAGCAGCCGGTGTTCCCACACTTCCCACATCACCGAGATCATAATCACCAGCTTTTTCCGGCACAAGCTATAAACACCCAACTAGACTATAGAAGGCTAGATAAGAGTGAATCTGGGTGAAGGAAATCAGACCTTATGATCTTAATTCACACCATAGTTATGCCAGCTTGAGAATCCCATCGTTTAAGGTTTCCAGCTATGGCGGGTCGGAGAATGGTCTACGTCGGTGGTGCTGGTGGTTCGAACACCACTACTGTTTTGCTTCAGAACCAGAGGGTCTCTTCTTCTTCCGAGCCCTCGACTCTCTCTTCCTCTCTGGGTCTTCCCCTTCTTTCCTGGGTAAATTCCATGACTACAGAACTTTTTCGTTCGCTATTGTTCTTCCATTGCTGCTGCAATTCTTGTTGTATTACTTTGTTTAGATATGTGGGCGTGATTAGGATTGTCTGCTCTTGCTTTTGCTTCTATACTTGGTGGGGTGATGCTAGGGAGATTGTTTGTTCTGCTTCTAGATCCATTTCTGGGAGGTTAATTATATAATTTTCAGTCAGAATTCTCTAGTTTGTTCTTAATTGAGAAGGATGAATGATGCTGGCTTTGTTGAAATTTGTGGTAGCTTTGCTTCTTTTTCCTGATGATAAATTGAAGTTTGAACAAATTTCATGTGGGTTACTTTGTATTTGCGTGTGCTTGGGTTGGGAATATTTATGCCTGTTTAAGGCAAGATTGATGTTTATTCCTTTTTGATGCTTCTACTAGACTAAATTTAACAGTTTTGCACTCCGAACTGTAACTGGGTGTTTGATCTGTTTCTGTCTGTTTTCATCTTTTGAAGACAAATCAATACTTAGGCTAGTCAAAATAAGAAAAGAAAGATCTCTTGCTTTCTAAGAGCAATCAATGTAAGTATTATAATCAATCTAATTCACTATAAATTGTGAGCTTTTTAAGCAATGAAGAGTTTCTTTAACTATGCCAGAATGGTTTTTGACTTCTACATCCAATTCTGTTCTGAATAATAAAGGGTTTTTATTTATGTATCTGTATTAGGTTCAAGATCAATGGTTAGCTTTGAAGATGTCAGCGAGGGAAAACGATCAGAAAAATCTTTCTTCCGCTCATTTGATCATGAAGAGAATGGAGACGAGGAGCTAGATGAATACTTCCATCAACCTGAAAAGAAAAGGCGGCTCACGCCTGATCAAGTGCAATTTCTAGAGAGGAGTTTCGAGGTGGAGAACAAGCTTGAACCTGAACGAAAAATTCAGCTGGCAAAGGAGCTTGGCCTGCAACCTAGACAGGTCGCCATATGGTTCCAAAACCGCAGGGCAAGATGGAAGACAAAGCAGCTTGAGAAGGATTACGAGGCACTGCAATCTAGCTTCAGTGCCCTCAAGAAAGACTATGATGCCCTTCTGAAAGAAAAGGAGAAACTGAAAGCCGAGGTATTGAATCTCATCAAATTTAACACTCTGTTTGGATCTATATTTCGTTCTCTGTAATTTTGAAAACAGAAAATACTGAAAATTTTGAATATTCTATTGTTTTCGTATGTTTTCTATTGTTGAGTGAAGATCTATGTTCTGTGTTCTCTTGTCAATTTTTTTCTTCTGCGATTTTGAAAACAGAAAATACGGCAAACCTTGAAAAAGCTATTGTTTTTGTATAGCTTTAATTTTTGAGCGAATATAGTCTCTGAGAATTCTGAAAACAATTTTTGTTCTCTAAAAATGAACCTGTTTTGTTGCTGAAGATTGTCCCAAAAAAGGTTTTTCGGGAACAACCTAAAAGTGATGGATTTTCTGTTTCGAAAAAAAAAAAAAGAAAACTGTTTGCATGAACAAATCCAACTGGCTTATCTCTTCCATCAGAATTGCTATGTTGGTTTCGGCAATGCTTGTCTAATGTATAATTCTTCCTTCAGGTTGTTGAGCTCACAGACAAGCTGCTTCTCAAACAGACCGAGAAGGGAAGCTCAGAATCATCAAACACCAACCAACAATCCCAAGCACCACTGAATGCACCAATTGCTGATTCGGGTTCTGAGGGTGAAGTGTCCAAAATTTCAATCCAGGCTTGCAAGCAGGAAGATCTTAGCTCTACCAAAAGTGATGTGCTTGATTCAGAGAGCCCCTGTTACATCGATGGGGATCATTCCTCTTTCCTAGAGCCAGGTGATTCTTCATACGTCTTTGAGCCCGACCAGTCGGATCTATCTCAAGACGAGGAAGATAACTTGAGCAAGAGCCTCATGCATCCTCCAACCTACGTGTTTCCGAAGATTGAAGATGTTGATTACCCCAACCCCTCTGCAAATTCCGGCTGCTTCGGATTCCCTGTCGAAGATCAAACCTTTGGGTTTTGGTCTTACTAGTTTTTATTACTTGGGTATATAACTTTGCTATGTTTTCATTCTTGTTTTCCTTCCAAGTGCTACAGACTATAAATAGCTGTATGAGAAATAAGTCCAGTCCATGGCACCCCCCAATCCAGGTGTGGTGGTGGATTTTGGTTAAGGTTGGAAATGGTGGTTTCTCCTTTTCCCCTTCTGTAATGTTACTTTGGATGAGGCTACTGTCCTGAACTTCTTTGACTGCCAGGGTTGTATGTAAATAAAATTTGGGTAAGTTACACTTTTAATTTCCAGATACTCTCTATTTTTTTACAATCTTGAAATTAAAAATCTTATAAGTAAAGTTATGAAAATTAAAATGTAATTTATATGAAATAGCGAATTTATTCAATATTTATATTAATTAAAAAAATGTTTGATGAGAGATTGTTGGCTGTTCAGACGTGGGTTCGTATTGAAGATGGGAATGGACAAGACATCTGCGTATATTTTATTCCAAGTACACGTGGGGTCTGAGCTGGATTGAAAGATCTAGTATTAACTGGATTAGAGAGGCGTAGTGGGAGGGGGATATCCTTTTTAGTTTTGATTCTTGGAGCATTTAAGAGTGCTTTCTGGGTGAGACATCTCATTGGCAGAGTGAAGGAGAAGCTGAATTAAGCTCCAGTAATCATCCCGGAGGATTGTGGAGGCCCCTTCAGCCGCTTTCATGTTTTAATTAGTGTCAAATTTATGATTACATTAAAAAATTTAATATTTATTAAAAATAAGTTGAATTCCGTCAATTTCAGGTTATATTATTATTTTTTAAGAAATTTTGGAATGAGTTTATGATGAAATTATAGTACCTTTTGATTTCAGAAGTTCTGTTTTTTATTGGCTTGAGAATGTTTACATAATCCCAGTAGGACAGAATTTTTTTTTCTTAATTCTAAAAAGTATATCAGAAAGTAATGTTATTAACCAAAGTCTATGGTGGTTTTCTTCTTCTCAAGCATAGACGAGACCGACTAAAACATTGTGGTCATGTTCTGTTTATTCGAGTTCAATTTATACATTATAGAAGAAAAAATGATTTATTTCGGTTAGTTATTTTTAAAATTTTTATATAAAAATGTAAATAAAAATATTTATTTTTCGTCATTTTTTTCTCATTATTTCACGCTCCTTTCAAATTTTAAAAGAAAAAAAATTAAAATATCGCAAAAATTCTCTAAAAACCTTTTCTGTTTAAGCTTCAAATTTTCTACCCGAACCAAATTAAAGGAAAGACTAGAAATTACAAATAAAAAGAACCCATCTTTTAGAATGTAACCAAACAACAACTTAATTCTGTCTGAATTATTTTCTTCTAAAAAAATGGGTCGCTAGTTTTTTTCTACGTTTGTTTTATTGGAATATGATGCAAATTTTAATTTGATGAAAATGAAAACAAGAATAAGTTTAAATTATAAATTTAGTTCACATGAGTGTGTGTGTATTTTTTAATTTGGTTGGGGGTGGGGGTGGGTGAGAAGTAGTGCGGAGTGTTGAAGAAGCTTGATCTCCATATATGAGGAAGAGTGTGGGATGACGTGAGTAGGAAAGACATGGTTGAAATGAAGGCAAAGTGGATAAGTCCGAGTTATTATCACATCAATCGCCACAGCCTTTTTAGTGGGGGCATAAAGTTGAAATAGAAGACAACCCCATAAAATGGATGCCCTGTTTTTTGACATCCATTTTTCCTTTTCCTATTCTGTCTGACTGTTTCTGAAAATAACGTTTTTATCTTTATTTTTCTTTCAGAGATTTAGTTTCGGTAATCAGATTTAGTACACTTGCAAAGTTATATGATTAAATATAATATTTTAAATTAGTAGTCAGATAAAGTACTAAAATGTAATTTTTGTAAATTTAGTTTAAATAATGAGATTTAGTAAATTTAATAAGTTTTATAATGACATATTATATTATATTTAATTTTTAAAACTTAAATTATATTTTTATCAAGTTAGAATTAGTTTGATAGATTAGATAAGGATAAATTATCCCTCTTTATCAAATTTTATCTATTATTTAATAGAGTAAATATTAATATTAAATTAAAAATTTGGATATAATAATTATGTAATATTTTTAAATGATGTTATCTTTATTATTTGCGGACTAAATTTTCAATATATATCATTTTTCACGTGTCAGCACCAACCCTGCATAACAAGCCCTTGTCACCCACCACTAAAAGCCACCGCCACATGCTATCTTCCTACCCCTGTTCCCCCGCGCCCCGCACGGTCAACCATCATCGCCACCCACTATCAATCCCTGCCGTTGAGGAGGATATTTTGGTAACTCAGTTGTTTATTAATGTTTTATCTTAATTTGAGTTAAAATTTATCAACTCAGTTGTTTTTAAAACTTATAATAATTTTATCAAATTTATACATCAAATCAATTATTGTAAATATTAATAAATAATAATTTAATATATTATACAGTCAAAATATTTTATTTAAATAATACTCTATTCTATTTTATTTAATTTAAATTATCAAATAAGCCCTTAAAATATTGTAATTTAAAATGTCATATAATAGTTAATATGTATAAAGATTATGTTATTTTTGTATGCAAAGAAAATTTAACAAGTGATTTTCACAAAAAAGTAAGCCGTACATTTGTCCCGAAAACAAGAGGAAAGTTGTTTTCAAAATTTTTAGATATTATTTTCGAATAAAAATGAAAATAATGATTTTTCAATATTTTTAATATTTTTTAAAAAATAAAAATTCTAATAAGTCCGTGACCACAAGAAGATCATGCGTGCGTCTCAGCCAGCGCGAGACCACCTATCAGCGTTGAATTTCTACTTTTATTCTCCTGGTGGTGGGCCCACACCCATCTCTGATGAAACGCGAAAACAGAAACTAAAAATGTGGATTTGACAATCAGACCAGAGTTTCTCGAACCGACTTCAATTGCCACCATGTTTTGTCCTGGATTATTATTTCATTTTTATATTTTATTAATTTAACAGAGAATTATTTTTAGAATTCTCTAAGAAAAAATATATTTACAATAATATCAATTTATTTACACTTCCTTCAATTTCTAAAAATTTAGATTAAATATTTTTAATTAATTGAACAACTCTTTTTAAGAGTTTTCACAAGCTTTATTCTTACTTTTATAATTGATAAAAATAAATAGATATATTCACTGCATGTCTTAAGTTAATATTAATTATTATTTATCTCTCGGCTTTTGGAGAAAATTGTGAACAAATATTTTTAGGGGAAAAACAGTCAACCAATTAATCCAAATTGGGCACAAGTATAATTTTTTTCTTTTTTGGTGTGCGGATTTTGGTGGGTGGTGTTAAATCAAATCTAATAATATCCAAATATTGAGGTGTAGCCAAACCCAAAAGGCCATAACGAAAGCTGCCCATACCTTTACGTGCATGTCGAACCATTCTTTTAAGGTAGTGGGTGGTTCAATTTCATCGTTTTCTTTCCCTTCTTTTTCGTCTTCAGGAAAACTACTGTGCTTGTTGACCGGAATCCACGAGTCTTTGAAATGCAACTTCGTTCTCTTTTCCATTTTTTAACTCCGGTAAATTTGTATGGCTAAGAATTTAGAAGTTTACAACTTGTTTGGTTGGGGATAAGGACGTTGGGGTTCAACTATTTATTTCCACCGTAATGGACATGAGAGCGAATGGTTGTTAATTTTTTTTTCTTTTTTTATAAATATTTTACAGTACAAAATTAATTTTATTTAAAATACGTAATTGTCTTTTTAAAATTTTATTTTTACATAATCGAATTTAATTATTTTTATAAATAACTAAGTCTCTTACTAAGCTAATTGTTAGTTTAATTATATTACTAATATTTTGTTTGTTACAATAAAAAAATTTATAAAAAAACAAATATTATTTTATATGATATATTAGGAATATTATTTTCAACATTTCTATTATTAATTTTTTTATTTTTCATCGTTAGATTTTGATGATATTAAAAATGTATAATACATAGCTCTCACATTATATTAAATTTTTATCAATTTCAATTCAAATATACATAATATAATATACACAAATTATTTGACATATTCAATCCTATTCCATTAGTTTCATTATATAATCTAATAAATTTAAATTTAAAATATTAATATTAATATTCTTAATTTTTTGCAAAAAAAGATCTTATTATATAATATTCATTTAAATTTTTTTTTGACAAATATAAATTCAATAAGAAGCTCGGTTGACTAGTAGGCTCTAGCAATATTGGTTTATGGTTTTGCTTATTTATCGTTTTAAATTTTTTATAACACGTATAAATAATTAATTAATTACTTAAAATAACAAATAATTTAACTTTAAATAACCCTAAAAATGCTATAAATATGTAATTTTTCTCTTAAATTAGGTATGTATATTATATAATATATGTATTTTTTTAAATAACCCTAAAAATACTATATTGTTAACTATTAAAAACTTAATTAAATTAAACTATAATTTAATTGTGAAAATATTACTTTTAATTAAAAGATTTTGTACTGCATGTGACGTGGATGAGATTCTTTATTTTTTCTTTCTTATTTATTTTTTTACAGATATGTTCTAACGCCACGAGGATTTTTATAATGGGGAGTCGCCGTCGCAGCAGCCTTTCGTCCACGGCATGTCACTCTAAACCACCCAACTAAGGCCAAGTGGACTGTTTCCCCTCCGGCCTGAGGGCTGTGCCCATCAAGGCTGTGCTGTGCCCATCAAGGCTGTGCATACCCTCAGTACCGACCACTTTTAAAATCCGCTCCCCCCACGCCCACCGGATCACCGCCACGTGTATTGTCAGAGGGGCCCGCCTCCCACGGTCTTCGTCAAACTCGCATCGCCATCGGGACAGCGACCCCAGATGGAATCACTAGCCTCCGCGGGCCCCACCTGCTCCCCTGATGCAGACCCGAGGGGACACGTGGAGGACGGTGAATGGCGAGATCGCGTGGGATTGGTTTGACGGGGCCCGCCATACTGGGTATTGGTATATCGAATATGGGGAGGTGTCGAAAACTTAAATGGGTGGAGATAAGAATGAGATTTATAAGGGTTGTGCTTGGGCGGGCCCCACCCGCTCAGCCAGCGGAGCGATGGAGCGGCAGTGACCGCGTGGGTTCTGAATAGTTTTCAAATTTGGGGGTCGGAGGGTGATGTCACCCGGCAATGGTGGTTTGATTTCGGGCCTCCTATTTCTAATAATTACTATTTTACTCGCATTCTGTCTGCGAAAGTTCATTGCATCAAGACTGGTTTGACTTAAAATAAAAACATTTCATATACTTAGGATACCATAGAACTAACTTTCTCAAATTTTAAAGCTATATTATGATTTTTAAAAAATTTTTAAGAATTATAATTATTTTAAAATTTGAAATTTAAGTTTTAAAAATCTAATTTCCGAAACATATTTTGGTCAATGCAAAATTTTTGGGGTTTTAAGGTTTTTAGTTTGAGAAATTTCTAAATTTACCAAATGACCCCAAGTGATAGAAATCTTGTATATTTAACATTATAATTAGGGTTTGATAAATATTATAGAAGTATAGGTGTTTTTAAAAATTATATTATTAACAAAGAATACACGGAAGTTTTGTTTTCCTTAAGGTCTGCTTGGTTTCAGAAAATATTTTCTGTTTTTATTTCTTATTTTCATTTTTTATAAATAGTTTTTATTTTTAGATTTTTAAATTTTAAGAAGCATATTTGGTTTGATTTTAATATTTCTTTTTTTCAGAAAATAGTTTAAAATTTTCAGTATATATTTTTTATTTTCAAAATTTGCTGAAAAGAATACTAAAAATGACTTTTTAAAATTTTTGATAATCAGTTCATTTTCTAGAAAATATTTCAATAAAGATTAAATCATGCAAAATAAAAGTATTTTGGAACTTATTTTCTACTTTCATGGAAAATAAAAACATAAAAAACCAAACATGCTCTCTCTGCCCAATATTGGTAAAGAAAAACTCTACTTCCACACAAAAGAGAGGGAAAGAAGAACTCACTTTGTATACCAAAAATAGCGACACTTGTCTCAAAGTGTCACCGCAAGCAATTGACGACCTAATTAGTAAATTAGCTTGCTTGTGCAGTAGCCATGGCGACCTAAATGCAAAATGGCAATAGTATTACAACTACCATTCCTATCAGGCGAACCCCGTCGCTGCCCCACAACCATGAATGTCGCCAGGCCCATCAATGCCTAGTACCGTCTTTCTGAGATCTGTCGCTACTATAGGTGTTGCTACAAGCATCAAACCTTTCCGTGCAAGCATTAATTAGCCACCATGAGCCCTCATCTCTAATTGTTGCTATTACTTTAGATATAATTGCAGAAACAAACACAGAGCAATGCTGAAAAGAATGGATATGTATTCACAGTTCCAATTATGAAGACAGGCATCAATCAAGATTGCTACTACTGGGATATCAGAGTTTCTTCGTAAATTTTTTATTTTAAATTTAAGATATTATAGATATTTAGACGTACAAATTTTAAATTTAGAAACTAAATTAAAAGATCAATTTAGAATAAGTTTTAATAAATTATCAAACAGATTATTCATTATACAATATATTAACAGAAAAAGTGACATTTATTTTTTAATAACTTTACTTTGTTTATAAAATACTTTGATTAAAATAATCAAGTTTAATTGATGAAAAATGTGATATTCCCATGTGTTCTAGCAGTCAATGGGACAATTCATTAATCATAGTAATAGGTTTTAAAGAAAATCTTAAAAAAAAGGATAGAAAGATCAAGCTCTATAGGCATAGGCCAAGTTCAATTAATCGGAGTTTGAAAGAGCAAAGTTTAGAGGGCTCAACCGGCTGACTCATAAACTTTGCTAGCTTGTTGATAAAGTTGAGGCAGGACTCCACTAGATTCTGAGAATCGACTTAGAAATCAAGAATGTATACGCTTTGCTGTATCCACCATAGTCATGCTCAAAAAGGAAACACCATTGGGTGGCAGTCCGGCCCCTTGCAATGCCTTTTTTAGGCAAGTCACAGAAGAAGGAAAGGTATACGGCTTAAAATTATTGCACTCTTGACCTGTTCCTGGATTCTTCAATTTTAATCCCACCTACTCTAGTTCCTATTCCTGCCAAGGATTTGTTGGTTTTTATTTTTTCCTTGGAAATATTTATTTCCATTAGCATTGATCCTTAATCATTAGGTGAGCCTTGTGTTAATGATAAGATTGTTTATTATGACTTGAATGATACAAAATTGACTCGTGAAAATAACATTTGGTATAAATTAAATGTATAATTATATACATTTCATTATGTTTTTAAATTTTTACAAATGAAAGAATATTGTGGTCTAAAAAAGTAATTTTTTTAAATGGTATTAATTCTCAAATCAATTCACAATTGAGATTTGAGAATCTTTGAGTTCTTTCCTTTAAAGGATACATAGATCTTGGACATGTGATAGGTTCTTCAACTCTTCCACTAGAATGATGTAACGCATTATTGATAATGGGTCAACCCACTTCCCACGGAAAATCTGATCATCCACAATACCCATTTTCTTGAAGCTACTATTTTGGCAAATTAGTGTCCCTACTTCATGCTTTTGTTGCAACTCAATGCAGTGATCAATCATCGATCTGCACATGCTGTGGGCGAGTTCTTGTGGCCGTTTTCAAGTCCTGGTAACCCATTTCATATGGCCCCATCAACTACATGAATGACTCGTATCTTCAACTGCAGAATGCCAATATATATATATATATATATATTTCATTATGTTTTTAAATTTTTACAAAGGAAAGAGTATTGTGATCTAAAAAAATACTTTTTTAAATGGTATTAATACTCAAATCAATTCACAATGAGATTTGAGAATCTTTGAGTTCTTTCCTTTAAAGGATACATGGATCTTGGGCATGTGATAGTTTCTTCAACTCTTCCACTAGAATGATGTAACGCATTATTGATAATGGGTCAACCCACTTCCCACGGAAAATCTCATCATCCACCATATATATACACATGCTGTAGGCGAGTTCTTGTGGCCGTTTTCAAGTACTGGTAACGCATTTCATATTCCTCCATCAACTACATGAATGACTCGTATCTTCAACTGCAGAAAGCCAAATATATATATATATATATATAGATTATATATATATAATAAAACATATGTAACAGGAAGTTTGATTTGAAACCAGAGGAGCAAGTTCAGAACAGAAGACTAATGGCGTTTTGCAAAAAAAAAAAAAATTGATTTGCTTTAGACTATTTCAAAGTTTGAATGCCCTAATTTTGGGTTAGGAAATAATGCCATTAGGAAAGGAACAATAAAGCATAAGATTTCATGGACAAAGTGTGGATTCAAAGACAATTGCTTCCTATCAACACCTGACATTTACTAAAGTTAAAAACTAATTTTCTGTTTTTCTTTTGTTTTTTTGGTTGGTACATTAGAAGTCTAAGCCTAAGATAAGGGAAAGGAGATGGTCAGAAGTCAAACATATAATTGTTAAATAAACTTCACAAATATTATATTACTTTAGTTAAGATTTAGGGTCATAATTTCTGTTTTCGATGCTGATCTTTGCAAGTGAGATGAGTTTTAAAGGGCTCAAAAATGAAATTTGGGTAATTGAGAGGACAATCATGATGGCAATGGTGCGGGTTAATAAGGCTCCTACCCAACATCGGCACCCTAGTTATGGGCTTTCTGGCCCATGACACACCTTAGATATGTCACAAAAGTCACCCGCCTTGTTCTTTCTATAGATTTTAGTGGCAGCAATTAAGAAGAATCTCCAAAATTTTGGGGCATTATTTAATTCTATTTAAAATTATTAGTCTCAGGGTTCAAGGTTATTGAATCTTTTCGTTTATTGCATGGGAATTTAGTATTATATTATATTAAGGCCTCACTAACTCACGAGGAGAAAATTAAGAGAAATGCAAACAACTGTAATCTCATGACTCGCCTCAAGAATAATTCAGTAGACAGAAAATGGTACAGAACGTATTGAAGGATTCATCAATTCAGGGACTAAAAGAAATTCCTACATTTCTCATTATTGACAATTTCACAAGTTGAATTGCATTCCTTGGGTCAGAAACCCTACATCCACGACCAGGTCGTGCCCAGAGACGAACGCCGAGTCATCAGAAGCAAGGAACACAACGGCGTCCGCAATATTTCTCACTTTCAAAGCAATTCCTTTCAATGGGGTGCGTGGCTTAAAAGCCTTCTCGATTTCCTCCAGTGTGTACTGATCATGCGAGTTGCACACGAACGGTGTCACTATCCCCGCCGGCGACACGCAGTTCACCCTGATCCCGTGCTTCCTGAGCTGTCGGCTCGCCATCCACACCAGCCCCACCATCGCGTGCTTCGACATTGTGTAGTCCACCCGTTTTTCGGTGCCCCTGCTTGTCGCCACGCTCACTGTGCACACAATGCTACCTCTCTCTTGTCGCTCGACCATCACACGCGCAGCGTGCTTAACACACGCCACCACGGATCGTAATTTTGATTTAGTTTTTGATTTTTTAGTTTGGTTCTTTGGTCTTTAATTTTAATATTTTTAAATCAAATCAAATTAATTTAATTATAAACTAAACCTAAAATTTTGTTTCAGTTTGGTTTGATTTGGTTTTAAGTTTCAATTTTTATTTATTAAAAATATTTAAATAAATTATTTATTTAACTTTTTATTATTAAATATACATATATATGCATATATATGTATGTGTGTGTACATGTATACATATTTGTATATGCATATATATATACACACATACATAATATATTTATGTATATATTCATATAAATATAAAATATATATATGCAAGTACGTGCACACATACATGTAGGTATATACATACATGCATAAATATGTAAATACATATATTTATGTATTTATGTATGTATATATACATGTGTGTGTGTACATACAAACACACACATATATAAATACACACGCACACATGCACATATAAGTATATACATACATACATAAATATATAAATATACATATTTACATATTTATGTGTATATATATATACACGTGTGTGTACATACTCACACAGATATTCTTGTGTGTGCGCACGTGTGTATATATATGTGTGTGTGTGTGTATACATGTATTTATATACAATATAAATATATGTACACGTACATATATTTATATTTGTGTGAGTATATAAAATTTATATGTGTGTATGTATGTTTGTGTGTGTACATATACATATAACTATATATATGCATATATATACATGTATATATATATGTATATTCTTATATATATGTATCTATATATTTATATACAATATAAATATGTGTACATATATATATTTATATTTGTATGAGTAAATAAAATTTATATATATATATATGTATGTATCTATGTATGTACGTCTATGTGAGTGTATGTACATACACATATAAGTACATATACATATATATAGATATATAAATATATGTATGTGTGTATATATTAATATTTTTTATAAATTTTTTTTAAAATTTTGGTTTTTGATTTAAAATATTTTGGTTTGGTTCTAAACTAAACCAAACCATAATTTTGGATTATTTTTCTAAACCAAACCAAACCAAACTAAACTAAATTTTAAAAAAAATCAAACCAAATTTTAAATTTTGATTTGGTTAATTAGTTTGGTTTTGCACACCTCTATCTGTGTTGACTACGAAATGCAGTCGAATTTAGAGAAGTCAAGCTCAAGGATGACCTGAGCAAGGCAGTGGCCACTGGCCATGTGATTAGTTGACAAAAAAATGAAACCTTACTTCCCTAATTTCCAATTTTAGGATATATATAAGGAAAGAAAGGGAGCATGACCTGGTCGGAGGAGCTCACTATCCCCACGTTGCTGAACATGATGTCAAGCTAGTTGTAGGAGGTGTGGAGCGTGCAGGCCACGGTCCATTTGATATTAGGTGATGCTACAGTGAGGCAGCACATGCACTCACTATCTTGGCGTTGCTGAACATGATGTTGAGTTAGTTGTAGGTGTGGAGTGTCCAGGCCACGGTCTATTTGATACTAGGTGTTGTCTTAGTGCGTCAGTACCTTAGCAGGCATTTTAAATTATTTTTTGATTTTTTATTTTATGTTTAACCAAATAAAGAAAAAATATAGATATAATATCAAATATTAAATTATTTTATGAATAATTAAAATGAATTTGTTCCATTTTTTGCTTTTAAATTTAAAAATGAAATACAAAAAATCAAAATTTTCTTTTTAATTTTAAAAATAAAATATAAAAATTCAAAAATTCAAAATATCTAATATTGATATGTATAATTAAAATGTAATTAAATTAACTAAACAATCAATTTTTATTTTATTAAATAAATAAAAAATAAAAAAATAAAATACACACATGTCACTCTCTTATAGGCCTACTAGGGTGCTACCCATTAAAAAAGTACCTAATATCAAATAGACCCCAAGGCACTAAGATTCTGACTTGGTCTTTATCAGGGATGTCACAGTGAACATAGGCACAGCGATGGGAGCTGATGGCTTCGACTACACCTTGACCCTTCTAGTCTTAGATGTCGGGGATCGCGACGCCACTTGCATTGTGGTAGGCAATGAGATGGGTAATAGTGTCTTGATCCAAGTGCTAATTCGTAAATAACGTTAAAATTATAATAGAATTCAATTTATCAAGTACAACCATCTAGGTATTTCTATAATTATTCAAAAACTACTATTTTTAGTAATTTATTACGCTTAAACTATTAACTCAAAATAGTTAAACTCAAGTTGTTTAATCGTAATTTTTAATTTCTTATACATTATATCATATTACTCTCAAAAATTTATGTAAGATGGAATGTCACAATCTCTCTTACTTAAATATCTAACATCTTCGTCAAGTTAAAAAGCTATATTTTTATCCAAATATAACATGTTCGAAGATCGTTGTTTTGCTTTAATATCATTTTGTCATGACCTAGATGCTGAATTTGTGATTAGTGCTAAAGTTAAAATAAAATTTAATTTAACAAGTTTAATCATTATGAGTATTTCTGTAATGATTTAAAAGTTACTAATTCTAACAATTTATTGAACATAAACTATTGATTTAAAATATTTTAATTTAAATTATTTAATAATAATTTTTATCTTTTATATATTATATTATATTATTCTTAAACATTGATATGATATGAGATTCCGTAACAGTGACACCACCGGTGACGATGGTCACTTTGCCTTGCAACTTTTGGACACGTAGTAGAGCGGCATCTCCTGGCATTTTCGTTGTTCGAATATTGCTGCCTGTGAGCTTGTTCATGATACAACGACGCGACTGTGGGGAATGCTAGCCTCAGATATTTGTGGACGAGTGAAGAAAGATTAATGGGGCACAAGAGATTAATTGAATATGTATTAAACGAATCAAGAAGATAAAGATATGAACAAGGACAATAACTGGGTTACCAATGTTGCCTTGTTTATCCGAAAAAACTTACAAATATCTTTATTTAAAAAGTGAAAAATACATTTTTAAAATAAAGTTTTCTGTCTCCCAAGGCATCAAGTATCCCAGGTTTTATAAAAAATAAAATAACTAAAATATTATCAATCAAACTAAAACAGTCTCTACCTGACTTTACAAGTTATTTAGAGGATATTAAATGTTCTAGATAGTTCTGAAAAAAAACCGAAATTATATTTTTCAAAAAATAAAAATAAAAGTTAGAAAAGTATAGAAATCAGCTTCTTTAGCTCAAAAGAGAATAGGATATATCTCCTCGTATATTACAATTTTAACTTTTAATTTTATCCTTTTTCTTGTTTTCAGAGACAGACAGGCAGAAAGTAAAGCTTTCTGATTATTAAACAAAATTCTAATCCGTGGAATGTGACAAGCATGCGTAGTTTTCAAAGGCATTCAGAGGGTCACATATAATTGGATTCATTAAATAATAAATCCTAACCTTCTACGTGAGTCACTTTAATACTTGTTAAATCAGTAAGAATAACTACTAACTGTGAGTAGATCAACCCTAATATCAAATATAAGATATAATTGATTATAAATCCTATAACTAGGACGGACACGCTGACATTTTACCCAGCTAGTTTAACGCTTTGACAATGGCCTACGTGTATACCTGATCCACGAATCAAAGTTATTTGGTTTTATTTTATCTTTTTGTCCTAATCTGGGAAGACAGAACAGAGGTCGGTAGGCTCACATGCGTCCATCTAAGGGGAATCGCCATTTGAACAAGTTGAGGAGAAGAACCAGCCGCTACTAGGAGCAATAGTAAAACACAATTACATCAGTTATCGTTAACAATGTTGCCTCATACCAACTCTTCCAAGCACAACAAGTTTTGTTACAGTTTCCAAACCATAACAATGAAGAGGCTAGAAAAGAATGGTCCACAACCAAAAAGAAAGGTGCAAGAAGCATGCACCATTTCGTCCCTTGAAAAACGCTTTCATATACAGAGCCCCAGGGGCGAGCATATCACCAGCAAGACAGAAGTGTTAAAGGTATCAGCAGTAGTCGGATTGGGACTCGTAAAAATCACTTGGGCAAGGGGACATCACCTCTTGCTCTAGGAACTGCAGCACCTGTTGCATTGAAGGTCTGTCATCAGGGTTGGCATCAGTGCACCTTGCAGCTATCTCAACTATTGCTTCTACAGTTTCTGCATCAGTATTAGCACAACTTTTATCCACCACATCTTCTAGTCTGTTCTCTTTCAGCATGGTGTTCATCTGTGAAGCATTAGAGCATTTTGTGAGCTTATAAAATAAAAGAGTTCCAGGTGATGTGATGGGAAATTGGGAAAAGTATATACCCAGCCGACAACGTTTAGGCCTCGTCTTACAAAAGAAGGATCAGTTGGTCTCTTTCCAGTGACAAGTTCTAAGAGGAGAACTCCAAAGCTATACACATCTGACTTCTCAGTGGCTCTTCCACTTTGTAGATATTCTGTTTACATATTGCAGAAGGTATATAGTATTACTTTCAAGCAGACTGTACATAAGGTGAAACAAATTTGCAATAAAAAAAAAGTACAGTAATTGAAGGTTTCACTGGATCAAGGAACGCAATATAGGGATAGCATCAAGCATGCAATATAGTCAAGTTCTCTGCAGCCTGCATCATTCAGCTGCAAAAGCTAACTCATTACATGTCACCATTTTAGGATTTAGAATGTCTTATCAAAACTTGGTATGTAAATTAAGCACATGGTTTGAGTGCAAGTCATTCCATTACTCAGATATAATAAAAACTTAATTTCCAGTAAAATTAAGGCCAAAGGCAAATTCTAAGAGACAAATTTGGAACTCACTGTCACTTCAATCTGGTGATTTTAGAAATTGTTTCAACCTCACTTTCTAGTTTATGCCTTTGACCATTTTATCTGACTTGAGACACATAAAAACACAAAAACAAAACAGACAAGATACTAAAAGATAAGAATGGTTAAACTAAAAGGACATGATTATAACCATAAACTTTATCTTGCAGGAGAAAGTAGTAACATTAAGGTAAGAGTGTACATGTAAAATGTAAAACAGACCTGGAGCTAAATAACCAAAAGTTCCAGCAACCACAGTTGTGACATGAGCATCCTCATCTACCAAAAGCTTTGCAAGACCAAAGTCTGACACATGAGGTTCTAGATTTTCATCAAGCAGTATATTGCTTGACTTTATATCACGGTGAACAATCCTTGGACAGCAGTCATGATGCAAGTATGCCAAACCCCGGCAGAGCCAAGTGCTATTCTTAGACGAGCATTCCAATTCAAGGATTGTTTTTCATCTCCTCGCTCTGAAGGGAAAAAAAGTCAGCCATGGATATATCAGGAGTCTTTATGTTGAAAAACAAATAGAGAACCATTACCAATTTTGTTGAAATATTCTAATTTGTTGTGTACAAAATTTAGTATCTTACCATTGACTAATATCCATTGAATCCCCAAAAGATACAGAAGCAAATTTTAATTCATAGGGATGCATAATGTGTATGTGAAAGTATCCAAAAACAAAGATGGAAATCAAGGATGAAGTCTATAGCATAGGTTTCAAAATCCAAGCAAAATTTCACCAACCAATGTCCTTAGATTGGGATAACATGATGCACATTTGGACACATACAACACTGAAGGAGGAATATCAGATGCACGGTGCTTAGAGGTTTCAAAGGTTGATACTTCTAAAAACTGCAGTTCATTGTTCCCTAATTATCAACTGGTTCTCAAACTTCGATCTATTTATGGTTCCTGCAGGAGTAATTGTTGGCTTACTAATACATATAAGTTGCTTATTTCCCTGACCCCTGTTGCATTTACCAGTGAAAGCCTCAATGGGCACAAAAACAGGTGGCCATCAGATTCTGCTCCAGCAAAAAATTACATAATGCATCAACTACTTCACAAAAGGGAGCATTAGGTGAAATTTGACAGCCAGAGTTACATGCCCAAAGACAAAAGATTTCCCTTTAACCAATATAAATATTTGTTGTGAACAAAAGAAAAAAGAAAAGAAATTAAAGAGTACATACCATGCAACAAGTCTTCTAAGTTGCCATTGGGCAGATAGTCATATATAAGAAGCTTGCAGAAGGAAGCCTGCAGTACCCTCTCAAGTTGACAAGATTTATATGCTTGATGCTACCTAAGATCTCTAGCTCTCTTTCAAAAACTTGGTCAGATCCTTCACGGCTCCGATCAATCCTTTTAACAGCAAATGTACCACAATCATTCATGACCATTCTGTAGACAGTACCAAATCCTCCAGATCCCACAACATCCTCCTCATCAAGAGACTCGAGCTTTTCTATAATTTCACACGATGGATAGGGAAGATCTCCATGAAAAGTGATAAGCTTGGTGCCTATTGACATGTCATCAATTCAGAAAATTGCAGCAGCAGCAGCAGCAGCAACAACAACAATAACAGTAATAATAATATAGATATTTTAAGCATCTGGCTTACTGGTCTCTTGATAAACTTGTTTCTTGACTTCTGTATATCTTTTAGCAGCCCTTTCCTTTTTAGATAGCAACCAAATCCAAAGGAAAATAAGGAGTGTGATGAGCAAAAGACCCATTATGGACATCACGGCAATCAGACACCCTTGATATAGTGAGATGATCGTTTTGTTGGTTCTATGAAAAATATACAGATTAAAAATATTGCATTATTAAAATGAAAAATGTCCTGCTCAAACTACAGTTCTTTACTTAAACTTCTACTCTTACCAGAAGCTTCATCACTTTCAGCATGTGGTAGCACTGCAGGGAATCCAAGTGATGTTCTACACATTTTGTTCACTTGGCGTCCACAAAGGTCCAAGTTGCCTATGAACCTAGCAAAAAGATAGCTAGTAGTAAAAAAAACTCAAAAATTGACAAACATGATAAATGAAATCTGGGGGGGAAGTCAATGAAGATTAATAAAATTAACCAATAGGTAATGCAAATTGGGCACATTACATATTGCCCAAACACTTTAATAAGGAGAATCAGTTTGCCGTGGGAATCAGATTGAGTTCACAATGGGTTGAACAGAAACATATTCCATCTGTGTACATCTAAAGGCTTCCAAATCCATGCTTTTTCCATTCCACACATTGATTAAGGTCATGAGGGCTGCAATTTGGGCAACCAACAGCAATCTTAAAAATGTCAAAACCCAATCCAATTTGCTCAAACTCCACCAAATCCATATAATTGCCAAGTTCATTTAAAGGGAACCAATTAGCATAGGTTGGGTAGCCTGATGTCAATTTGGGTCCGCAAAGATAGTTGTTCAAACTTAATTTGGTTTGCCAGGTTCAAACCAATTTTACGCAGAACAGGCCTATTAATAAAAAGCATTTATGAATCCAAACTAAAAGAGCTCTATGGCCAAATGAACACTGCCATGACCTGGGTAAATAAGAAATCCAAGACAAGAAAAAAAAACAATTGTGACTTGCGGATTTCAATCATACAATAGAAGTATTGTACAATAACTTGAAGATTAAACTCCATTATGATGTTGAGTTTAGTTGAAAAAAGGCTTTGTTTAATTGAGTTTACTTGAATATTAAGTGAAACTCCATTATGGGTATACCACATATGAGGCTGCGGATTAATTGAATTCCCTAAAACATTTTTTCTGTATAAATGGCATCTCACTAGGGTGATTCTTCAACCAGATTGCAATAATTAACCTCATCAAGCGTAATAGCCCTAATGCAAAGGCACTTACGAATTGTTCCCAAAAGTGCTTAGAACTCCGACATCTGGAATTTCACCTGAGAGGAAGTTTGTGGATAAATTCCTGAAATAAATTGCATTACATTGCTACATTAAAATTGTTAAGCATTACTTTACACTGGCAGATAATATGATAAGTTAAATAGCAATAGTATTACACTGCATTAGCTGAACTTACAGATAGCGGAGCCGTGTCAGACGGCCAAGAGACGAAGGTATTGCACCTTTAAGCGAATTACTTGACAAATCACTGCATGGAATTTCTAATGACATTCAAAATTTTCTACAATATGAAATCATAAAATTTATAACATCTCACAATGCTGCTTATCGAGTATTATTTCAGCCAAAAAAAAAGAAAAAAAGATTACTCACAGTATAGTGAGTACAGAAAGATTCCCAATATCCGAGGGTATGCCTCCTTGAAGATAATTAGCCCTCAAGTACCTATAGATGGTAGAATAAAGCATTTGACCTTATCAGTCTACATGAATATATATGCAACCAATCCAGAGAAAGAGAAGCTTATTAACACTCACACAGCTCTCAGTTCTGTGCAGTTAGTAATTTCATGAGGAATAACACCATGTAAACTGTTCTGGTGAAGTGCCCTGTGGTAAAAAAGGAAAATGATTAAAGAATATTAGTGGATTAAGGAAAGAAATTATTCCACTTTAGCTATAATTTCGTGACAACAAAAATATTTGTGAGTTTCACTTACAGTCTCTGTAGTCTTGTGAGTTTTCCAATGCTTGGAGAAATAATCCCCCCGAGTTGCATGTAGGGCAAGTTACTTCAAAACCAAATTCAAACCAGGAATCAGGCTCAAACACGAAGCCAGAGAGAGAGAGAGAGCAGAACAAATGATAAAAGGGTCGATATATATTTATACATGGAGCTAACTCTTTGGTCATTAGGATCGCAGGTGACTCCAGTCCACTGGCATGGAGACTCATCAGAATCTTTCCAGTTACTGAGAAGATTCTTAGTATCATTCAAAGTGCCTTTAAGTTCCAACAACGCAAAACCTAAAACCCAACGTCACCACCACAAACAGTAGTAGCTTAAAAATGAGGGCATAAATTGAAAATGAGAAAGAAAATTGTGGGCAGGAGCGAAAGGGATAGTGTAATACCATCTTCAGTGAGAGCAAGTGAGGAAGAGCTCAAAAGGGTTGTTCCCAGAATTGCCGAGAAGACAAAAACCAACATTCCCATTTTGCTCCCCTCGATCCAAATGGGCAATCTGATAGGTTTTGCTTCGAAAAAACTTGACTATTTAGTCACTGTATACCTTTGCTGCACACTCACACTGCATATTACACAGGAGAATGGAGAGGCAGAGAGAGAGAGAGAGAGAGAGGGGGCGTCCGCCAAAAACACAGATGCTAATGGTGGGGCTCAAATCGGTGAGACCCGCGATCATTGCAGTGCTCACAATCAAATTTTTCTAATTATTGTGACAGCACGAAGAGAGAGAAAAATGTTGCCATAGACCAATCAGCCAATTTTTCTATTTCCCGCTATTTCATGAGATTTGTGTTTTCTAGTTCAAGCGAGCAAGGAGGGCTGTGAAAGTGTTTCGAAAGTTGTGCAGATGGAGAGAGCCGTTGCCAGAGAAATTCAAAACGCGGAGTCGTATGTGCACTCTCGGTTATTAAGGAAATCTTCAAACTCGCTGAGACTGAAGACCACGTTTCATCAATGGGACCGGCGTCCGCATCCTGCCAGGTGTCAACGTGTTATTGGAGCGTGCGGAACTTATTTAGGCGAAGATGGCAGAGACTTCGGCTTTTTATGGGGCAAAGTCGAAGGCTGCACTGCCCGAGTCTGAGACCGTACCGAAGATATTTTATTTAATTAAAGGTGGCGAGCAGGCTAAGATACAATGACATGTCTGCTGGTTGCACTCACTGGTCACCAAGTGGGACCTACGCTGGAAATTCTACTTTTTAATCCTATTTTTCTTGAAAATATTCTTCAAGTCAACTATATTTTTTTTTTTAAATCATGTTTTACATCTCCAGATTATTGCAATTTTACCCGGTTTACAGTTCCCAAGGGCAGCCGTGTCGGGGGATTTTTGACATTTTTGTTTATTTTGAATAACCTGAAATATGTTAAATTGAGGAAATTGGTGTGTTTGCAGGTGTCATTTCATATTTATCAACTTAGAGGGGCCATTTTAGCAAATATCTCGCGCAAATGACAGCTTATTCTAATTAATTACATACAGGTGGATGGAGAAATTCTCCTCCTCTTTTACAAAGAGGTCGATATGAAAGTCTCCTGTTTAAATTTTTAAAATTTGTTTGTTTGGCTCAAGTTTGAAATCATGTAATTATACTTATTAACTCAAAAATTCTAATTTTTTTTGCAATTATGACTTAAAACTTAGGTTAGATATCATCATATATGCTATTTTTGAGCCATCCTCAGTGCCCAATGTTACCGTCCGGCCACAATGCCTTTTGTTGTCAATAACCGGCACTGATTGATTACTTGTAGACATAGGTCAACAACCCTTGAGTTTTAGGACTTTACAGTTTTTCAAACAAAGAATTAGCAGGTGATGGCAGTCGATTAGAAGTCATCGGGGATGGTTGGTTGACGCCGATGCTAATGCAATCAACAAGGGTCTCACCAGTAGCAATCAGCCAATAATAAACTACTAAACAATGATAACTCAACCCAGTTTAAAGAACACTATTGTTCAAATAATTTTTACAAAATATATAATTAAAAAATACCATTATCTATATAATTTTTATATGACTTAAATTTCACTCAAATCATAATTATAAAATTTGACTTGTAACCACAATCCTCGCAATCAATATTCATACAGAGTCTTAGAGATTGACAATCTTAGTACCCAAAGGATATTCGAGTTTATTTTTATACATAGATTTTTCATGATTTGCAATAAAGTCTAATTTTAGTGAACAATGCAGCTAGATTGCAGATAAAGAGTTGGCTTCAATTTTAGTGAAGACGATCTCAACTCCGTCAACCGGCTTTGGGTGTGGAAGATAACTGATTTCTGCATTCGGATTCACCAACTCCCACCTAGGATTTCCACAAATTCATGCAATCAATCAATAATATCAATATATATGAAGAAAATAGGTGATAAAAATAAGGTCTGAACTGCATTTACTTGTATCCCACGACCAAATGATGAAGAAATACAGCAAGTTGTAAGCGTGCCAACATGTTTCCTGCGCAGACTCTTAAACCCCCACCAAATACGCAGTACGTTCCAGGTTTTGCTGGTTCCTGCAAGCTCAGCCAATCAAGCAGATATCTCTCGAATATTTGGATAATTCTCAGCTTTGTATTACAACTCTCAATTTGATCATTTTAGTCCCTCGACTAATAAAATTGGTTAATATCCCTCCTTTGCAAGCCTAATTAAAAATAGTAGCAGCTTACAAGATTGCAAGCTTGTAAACTTTTGTCCTCAACTGGAAGGTTAAATAGGAAATTGATGTGATGTACATTTTTGGGTTGCCCTTTGAAGGTTTGGTGCACTAATTTCAATACAATAAGGATTAACAAATGGTGAAGATGAAAGGTTTATTTGTTTAGTGGAAAAGAGCCGCTATGACCCTTCACCAAATCGTGGGATGGAATCCTAGGTCAGCCATTCCACCTAGTCATCCCATTATTCATTTGTCAGAAAAACATAAAAACAAATATCGAAAATGAGACTATACTACTAGTGTAATGACGTGATTGAAGAAGTCAAGAGCTAGGGATCGAAAGTGTAATATTATTGATCCTTCTTCTTTTTTTTTTCTTCCTTTTCTGTCTTTTTTCTCTCTTATTCTCTTTCTTTTCTAAGTAAGGGAAGGTGGATGGTCATACTTACATTCCATCTATCTGGGTTGAAACACATTGGATCAGTGAAGTTTTCTGGATTAGTATGGAGGTATCTGATCCAAAGTATCACTTTCCAACCTTTTGGAATCAAATAACCTGAAACACTTCCCAAGGTGAATAAGTGCGAATAGGAGAAATGAATCAAAGAACCTGGAAGCCACCTCAAACTTAATACCTTTGTACTCAACATCTTGGGTAGCAGTTCTGAAAACAATTGGTGCAATGTTGGCCAATCTTATTGTTTCTTCCACCACCTGCATGGATTAAAACGATTTAAAAGCCACTGATAGTTAGACAACAAAATAAAGAAAGATAGAAATTTTGATTAAAAATGGTTAGAGACCTTGGCAGTATACTTCATCTCTGAAATATCATCGCTGGTAATAAACTCCCCGTTCTTTCTCTTGTTAATAGGGATGTTCTCTTCCTGCAACATTCAAACACTAAGTGATGACGAGGAACAGAATGGAAAGGAAGAAGGTTAAAACAGTTAGTAAAATTGACATATACCCGTAGTTTCTGAACAATTTTGGGATACTTCGCGAGATAGTAAAGAGCCCATGTAATGGCAAGGCTAGTGCTTTCGTAGCCTCCAACAATTAAGTTCACAATGTTATCTACCACCTCCTTCTCGTTTAAACCCCTCCCTTCCTCATCCTTCAATTCCATTAACCCCTCCATTACATCATTCTGCTTCTTCCCTTCTTTTCTGTTTCTCTTCCTCCTCTCCCACTCCTTCAAAAAAATTGCTTCCGCTTTCTTTCGACACTGTAAAATAATAATTTGTATATCATACCTCACAACGAATTACTATTAAACATATTCAACTTAAACATTTTAAGAGAATTATTAAAGATGACTTACTTTGTTTTTTTATTTATAAAAAAAACTTTTAATTGAAGTATCCATATGTCCTTCACTATCCTACTGATGAATAGTTAACTCAGTAACTTCATTGTACCAAATTGAAACAAGCATAAAGTTTAGTGACTATCGATGTAATTTACCTGGAAATGAATGAGGTAAACTTAACAAGGATTTAACAGAAGGACCGCTTTGGCCAATAAAAGTGAAGTTTGAGGACCAAGTCAGTATTTATTTGTTATCCATTTTTAATTAAAACATTTTAATGATAAGAAATAAATTTTAAACCCTTAATAGGTTGGTTAATTGACCTGTACAGCTCGACGGTAGGCAGTTCCTGGCAAGTTGATGGGACAAGCTCGAACGCCGTGCACCATTCCCTCGAACAGTCGATCTAGAGTATCCAGAACAGGTCCTGGTTCAAAGCTCGCAAAAATCTTTCCAATATTTTCAAATGTCACCTACAATAACACACAACAATAAATTTAATTTTAATTAAAAAACCCATGTGTCAAATTATTAGACAGTACCTATTATCCGACACGTAAAGACGTCCAATCACTGCCTGACCTAAAATGCTGAAGATCTTAAAGACTTAAGAACCAAAATACCTAAAAGTCAAAAATTTGTTACCATGATTTCTGAACAGAGCATGTGACATGGGCAACCAAGGAATTAAATTAATACTAATGAGAGTTGGAAGTGACCTTTTTGGCTTCCGGGCGTGCAAAGACTCTACCCTTGAGGGCCCATGACTGAAGAAGGGAGATGACACGTGGCTGCACCATGAGGGCTATTCCCGGAGAGCCTCCGGCTGGTTGATGGCCCTCGACACAAAACTTCGGAGTCTGATGTGGGCTTTCCCCTGAGCTGCTGTCAGTGACTTTGACCCCATGATTTCGACGGTGGGCCATTCCAGGATGAACTTATCGTTCGATTGAAACACAAATTTGTTGGCCGACGGGGAGCATGCTATGATGGCCGGCGATCTGAACAGGTGGGTCCTGTACATTCCTACTCCATCACCGTACCTGGATCATAAACACAAAATTCGATTATTCAGGATGTCTCTGTTGGTCTTTATTTCATTTATGGTATTGTTTCTGATGGTTTCTTTTGTGGGTTCGACGTGGGATTCTGGATGCTTCAACACCAGATGTTCGCTGTAATGTCTCAAAAAAAAAAAAAAAAAAAAAAAAAAAAAGAGGAAAAATGCTAAAAAAATTCAATCAGAAAAGGCAAACAAAAAGTCATAGCTGCATAAATTTAGAAGTTACTTTTGGCGTTTAGAATTGATGAAATCGTCGGGGCGAGAGAGAAACTTGAAGTAGCAGAGGAAGGAGAGCGTCTCCCCCAAGAATGGAACACCCATGTGGCCAGGAGGAAGCTTACTGGATTTATTTCTTGCTTTAATTTGGAGGCCAAACCAGAAATCGTTCCAACACCACAGCACCCAACCGACTACTGGAATTAATCCTATCAGCCATGCAAAGCACT